GATATTGTACATAAATTATACTACATTAAAATACTGAAAATACTATACTACTAATACTAAAAATGATATGCGTAGTACAAAATAATGTTGACGCAATGTAAAATATTGTATTATTATTGTTCATTTTACAAAAGATTTTTTAGATATATAAAATTTGTATTTTAAACTATAATTAATTCATTTATGCAATTAAACCATATTATATCAACTATAATTAGAGGTGATTTGATGAAGTCACACCGACTGACAAGTCGTCTTATAAACTAAAACAGTTTGTTAAACATATCAATTACTGCAAACAATTTGCATAAACTCCAAATTTCCAATAAATTATACTTATCTATATAATAAAAATATTTAAACAATATAAGTATTTATTTTACTAACATTTTTTTAGTAAAAAATTATATCGTCTCCAAAATATGTTTCAGTAAATATTATAATCATACTAGTATAAACACGTATTAAGGCAAACAAGAGCGGACTTATATTGCTTAGTAAAATAGATTTAATAATAGTTTTTACTTAAATAACTAACTTATTAACTAACTAACTAAGTGATATAGACCATCTATTAAACAAAACTGTTTTGGAAACACTGTCTTTTACTGAGTAATGAATACTGTGTTTAAACTATCGTACTTAACCGGAAAAACATGCAATAATAAGTGTCATTTTCTAATAAAACTGAAAAAAAATTATGCTTATATCTTTAAGTGTAAACATTGTATACTTAATTGATTATTTATACACTTTCCTCAGAAAATATTTTTTTTTGGTTGTACATAGTTTGACTTTTCTTGAGAATAACCTAAACCTTTAATGATATATCTTAAACATTAAAATTTTTATTATAAATCCAAAGGAAATCTTCTGAAAGGAAATATTTCTTAATTTACTGATGTCTTTATATTAAAATTTTTAATATAATTAAAAAATAGATGTAATAAAGACAAAAATAGTTTATGTAAATTGCTACTGTGCGTTATTAAATTTTATTCCAGTAAAAAAAGTGCTCTTTTAGTGCACTTTTTTATGTCACTTAAAATAATCCTATATATATTAAATTTTATTTAGAAGTTGTGGCTAATGTTAATATTAAGAAATCTAAATTATAATAAATTTAAGAAATGGCGATACATTTCACACTGTCTAATTATTGACACAACATAATTTCAATTATATTCTTATATGGCAATTTAAACTTTAATTTATTTAATATTATGTTTATTGAGTGTAATATACAGCTGTTTAAAAATTAATCTTGGATGGGTGTTATTTTTTTTTGAAGCATTATACTTCTTTTTTTTTTAGAGTTTTGAAGTATACTATTTTATGTTATAAATATTATTTTTATTTAATTATAACATGTCACTAAAGTGAAGTAAACTAATTTTAAAATAAGGTTTTCATTTTTATATATCATGTTTTTTAAGTTTATTTAAAAAGATTTTTTCTCAAGTAAGATTTTATGGTTTTTCAAGCATTGTATTATTTTAAAAGTAAATTATTTTGAAGTAAATTATTTAATTTTATAGTTATTATTTTTATTTATTTTTTACTTATTTATTTTTTTTTATTTATTATTTTTTATTTATTTTATTTTTTATTAATTTAAGCATAATATACGGCTAATAGAAAACTATATTTTAATGTTAATTTTTTTTATCAAATGTGATGCGTCTTATGACGAAAAGACAACAATGTTGTATGGTCAGTCAAATTACAATAAATTAACTAAATTTTTGTTGTTGTCTTTTCATTGCTATTCGGTTCGAAAAAAACACTATTTTCTTTAATAAGTGCTATGTTTTTTTAGTATATTATATGGATTTTTAAGCATTATTTAATTTTATAATTTTTATTTTATTTACTGAATTTTTTAGTGAAATCTATATTAGCATTATATTATTTTATAAATATTATGTTATTAAAGTTATTATATGTCTATTTAAGCATTACTTCATTCTACAAATACTATTTTTTTTGAGTTTATTGAAGTTTATTTGATAAGATTTATTTTTTTATTTAAATATGTTAAAACGGTTATTCAATCATTTTTTGGTTTTATTGACTATTTAGCTTAGATTAGATTTTAAACGGGTTGTGAACTTATCTCCATGTCACTACATCCTTTGAGGATTACTGTGACAAACCCACTTTAGTTCCATAAACGAGTAGAAGTTAAAAAGGCCATTATGTCCTTTGGACTGATCTTGTCTAATTCCGTTATAAATGGAAAGGCAGTTGATAAGTATAGAACTCTGAGTCTGGCGAGACTATCACAGTGACACAGAATGTGTTCTGCTGTTTCCTGTTCTTCGTAACAACTATTTGTCTATTTAAGCATTATATTAGTTTGTAAATATATTTTTAAGCTTATTATATGTATTATATATAGAAATACTTAAGATTTCTTCATTATAAATATATTACTTTTTTTAAGTTCATTTATTAAGATTTTTGTCTTATTAAAATATATCAATACGGTTACTCAAGCATTTTCTTATTTTAAAGATACTATTTTATTGATATATAATCTAATACTATTTAAGCAAACTGTGTAAACTTACCAATTGCAGTTATAACATTCTCCTCCACATTTGTTCAATTATTTCTTTCACGTTCTTAATTGCTTTAGAGTAGTTTTTAAATCACAAAATTTTAGTTTTTTTAATTTTTGATTAAAATACACAACTTCACTCTTTTCATTCTCGCCTCGGTTCTGAACACAATTAAAGCGATTTGGGGCAAATAATTTATTTAATATGCAATTAAATGTTTCGGAGGCAATAAATCAAACACGCTGGACAGCAGCGGCAGGTTATGACCAACGCTTGGCAATGAAAGCAGACGCTTACGCCGGTGGTAGCAACGGAAAGAGCGAGTTGAGTTGAGTTTTGAGGTGAGTTTAGGTCAGTTTCGTTGGTTTATCTTTCACTTTAGAATGCGCGATCAGGCCTGATAAAATGCCGACGTTCGTAGCAGATGACGACTATTGAGCGCTAACACAGTACGCAGCGGGCCTGACTAGAGCGGGAGGTGAAAGAAGCATTTACAACAAAACAACATGAATTGTTATTTTGTAACACATAAATTTTGTTTAAATGACAACGTTGACAAGGTTTACACTTTGTGCTGTTTGTTGTTTTTGTTCGAATTGAATTTGGAAAATTGTTTGTTTTGTTTATAAAATGCGTTCGAATTATTGAAAGTAATCATTGGTTGTTAACAAACTACAAACGCGAGCAGGCAGTCCCAATAATGTCCTTATATGAAATTTTAATTCAAATATAATTTGTTTAACTTATGTCCGGTAGAATTATTTATTTTAATTTTTAAACACCATTAAACACATTTTTATTTTCATTGTATAGTTTTTGTTAAAATAATGAGTTTTATTTAATTAAAATATTTTTTTGAAAATATTTCTTTCCGTTTAGTGATTTATTTATTGCACTTTTTTCACTTTATTTGCATTTGTTATTAGTTATTAGTTAATTTTGTGAATTTGTAATTTTTCTTAAGTAACTATTCATAATACTAAAATTAATTGCAAAAAACAAAACAAAAGAATGAAATATTAATAAAAACGCATTGTGTTTGCAATAATTTTCAACAGTTTGTTCTCTAAGCACTTCATAAATCTTAACAATTTTACGCTTAATTTATGAGTTTCCATCAGCGAAAATGCATTTTAATCGACATCAATAAAAACTAAAACACTTTGCTAACAATCCATCATTTATTATCAGCTCCGAAGATATACCTTGACTGACTGAAAGTATGGTATGGTGCTCGTGAGCTTGCTCATTTGATCTCAAAGTCATAAAAGTGTATCCAACAAATAAATAAATATTTCACTTATATTTTATTCTGTTTGCCAGAGTTGAGTTGCGCTGAGTTAAGTTGAGTTGCTGCCAATAAGTGTAGTGTAATGCTTTTATGGAAGTTTTTCAGTTTTTTAGATTTCTTTAGTTTTTTTATTTTTGCTTTGCGCTTTGTTTTTTGAAGCGTTTATTTGTTGAATTACCCGCGAATACGTGCTCAAAGCGCCAATGTTTCACTTTGACTACTTGGGCATAATTCAAATCACAAATATCTGAGCATCAATAAAAAAATACGCACGCACACATTAATATTTTTTCTTACACTGTGTTATATCCGTCGTCGCGCACCCGTGCAATAGCTTATCCAATCACACAAGCATGTAGGGCTGAATAAAAATGCATATCATAAAATGAATAAAAAAAAATTGTACACAAAGAAATGAAAATATAAAAAAGCACAATGCGATAGTGGTTTAAATTCTAAAGAGGAAGATAGCAATAGAAATTAATTCTTTGCCAACAATGTGTTGCGCTGCTCTGGCTTATATGAAATCATGTGGTGTGTGGTTAGATATTGTACGTACGTGTGTGCAATGTAAATGTGGTGGAGTATTGGTGGGATAGTAGTAAAATTATTTTATATCAAACGCTACCAGAAACCAGAAACAAAATTTCTATAGTTTAATCGAATTCGAAATTTGTATGAGTAAATCAAAATTTTATAGTTGTTCGAATATGCAGAGCGCGAATGTTCGAATAAGCTTAAAGAGCGCAATTTGTACGGGTGGTATGTGGTGTGTAGGTGAGATATAGGAGAAAATGATTAGCTTTTTTATGTGTGATGTTAATGAATTCTCCCAGTAAAATATATTGAGAATTTATATTTTTGACTGCAGTTCGAATTTTTGTTTGCTATATTTACTCTCGTATGCTTTCTTTAATAAAATTGATCATTTGCGAGGTGACTTGTTTAATTTCGAAAATAAGATTTGTTTTTATCGAAAAGCGGTTCCTGAAGTGCAAAATTGATTTGAGTAATCATTTGAAGCAACGGATAAACGCATTTGAGAAAAATTAATCATTTATGTTTTTAATTTTTAAAAATGCAAGTTTATTTATGACACATAATTAAATATTTTGTCAATCATTTTTTGTTTACATTTTTGATTTGCACAAAGAAATTCGGAATTTTCGTAAACATAATCGCTAAAGTCCCTTACCTTTATTAATCATTTTTCATGTGTGCAGGAAATAAATTAGAATTTTTTATAAAAGTCAATACTTAATTAACTTTAAATTTGAATATAAAAATGATATATATAAAAATATTTATTTTAAACAAAATTATTGTAACTTTATATAACTTCATAATAACATATGGACACAATATATGACTGAATCTGTTGAGTTCGAAAACTGCATTTTAAAAAAATTTTTTCTGTCAAAGAAGAAGATAAACAGTATTAATTATTAAAAATAATTTTTTCGAATACAATTTAAAGAAACTTTAAGAAACTATGAGTGCAACATTCCGTGTGTGATTACAAAGGTTTTTAGCTCAGTATATAAAACGTTTAATAAATAAAAATTAAGATATATTCAATTTTAAAGTAGCTAGAATCATTTTTTGACAAGAAGGAAAATTAATGACATACTTTCGAAGTATATATATTCGCATATATCTTAAAATTTATTATGCTTTAATTTTAATAAAGATTAAATACCTTAAGATTAGAATAGATATCTTAAGTATGGAATCTAATAAGAAATGTCTCTGAACTGTAAATGAAAGACTGTCTTGGAGAGAAGTGAACATATAGAACAGGTGTGAACAATTCTTATACTTCTCGGTTTATATGGTATCTTGGTATATACTAAAAACATGTAGTGACATCCTGTTTTATAGAAGATCAACCCACTTAGATATTGTATTGATCACTCGCAGGACAACATAATGGACAATAGTTGTCTATGAGTAACACTGTTAATATTTTTATGCAAACGCAATCTCTCAAACCTACCTAATTAAAAACCGAATGGGCATCCAGTCGTATGGACAATGAAATCACTTAGATGCAAGGTTTGTCCAATTTCAGAGCAGCACAATGGGCAGAAGATCTCTTCGAGTGGCAGTATTATTTCAACAAGTTTTAGTTTAACAAGACCTCCCAGACCAACGTATTTAGATCATAAACAGACCCAGTTTCGTTGAATTTTTGACTTCCAATTACTAACTTTTTTCAATTTTTTTATACCAATTTTTTATAGCTTAAAATAAGTAAACCATACAATAGTTTGTAATATTTCTTTTCACTTAAAATGTTTGTTAAAATTATTTTAACTAATTTTCAGATATTCTGGTAACCGTCGCTATTAAAATGTAAAAACACAAGTTAAAATTAAAAGATTTATTCAAAACAACAATTAAGATATTTTATTATATTTTCACATATTATAATTAAATTTTTAATATATTCATTGAAATTTTTTTTTTTTAAATATAATATTTAAATTTTTTTTTTAACATAATATATTCAAAAATTTATTTATTTTTTGTATTTCGCACACGAGTTTCTTTAAAAGCAGTTTTTTAGTTTACCGCCGATTGTCAGTCAGAGTTCGTCCGAAAAGCGTTTATCCATTAAAATCAAGTTTAAACTCTTCTGCACTTGTGTTTGCGAAAGCTACCGGGCGAATATTGAAGAATGCGGTATCGTTTAGTTATTTCGAACATGGCAATGGATGAGTGTTGTGTGGTGGTATGAGTTGTCAGTTGCCAGTGCACAGTTGTTTGTTCGAAAATATTGCTATCACTTTCTGTTCAATCAGAGCTCCGCCTATACTTGATTTATGTGTTAAGGGTGCTAGAAGTCGATGGCCTAACAAATAAATTACAAGAGCAAATGAGTCGAAGCGATTCGTAACAGGTTGTTTTGGAATCTCCAATAAGGTAATTTTTATTCGATTTTCCTGTGGCTGCTGCAAGTAGTCATCCATTCGGCGACTATATTTCTACCATTAAAATTAGAATATGATTTCTAAATTAATATTTCTTATTAAAAATAAAAATAAAGGACCCCAATTTTTTTATCTGTGAGATAAGTAGGTTGTATGTATTTTGAATTTATGATCTGTGAAGGTGTTAACACGTCAAATCAGTAGCACTAATAATAAATGACGCCAATTAGCGAATGCTCTTAAACGACTGTTGTTTTGAGTAGTTTCCTTATATGAGGATAATGCGAAGTTGTAATCACACAATTATATCACGCAGTTCATTGTCCTATATATGGCAAAAGAAACTTAAATTTTGACTATAAATATTATGTTAATTAGTGACATGAATAAGTCTATATTTTAAATTAATAACAATTTATATATGTGTAGCATATTTTTAATATATAGAAAATAGAAGAAAAATTTAGGTAATAGGACTGGAATTTATTACAAACTATAATTTTTTTTAAATAATATAAAATAATGTTTGATATAATTAGTTAAAAATATATAGTTTCTTTAGTATATTCAATTTTTAAATACAAATAAAATTTATAATTACAATTTTGTTAATATACAACAGTACCAGTGGCGTAACTACAGGGAAGCGACTGGAAGCAACGCTTTCGGGCCCCCGAACATAGGGGGCCCCACTATAAATTTATGCATTCATTATTAACATTAAAGAAATTACCAAAACTAGACAATTTTCCTCAAATAAATGAAAACAAAACTGAAGGAATAAACGATTTAAATGATGCCTTTGTTAATTGTGATACACAGAATAAATTTACACAATGTTCAGATACTGAAACAGACTTCAAACAGACGATACGAAAATCTTGACAAGTCTAATATACCTTTTTTACACTTTTTCGTGTAAAGGGTATAAAAAGATATTAGTAGGAGCTTCTTAGTTAGAATTCGCTTATGGGCCTAAAAAATATAGTAACGCCACTGAAAAGTACGTTTCCATTTTATTTATTTGTTTATAAAAATTTTTTTTACAGTGTTTACGATCAGTTTATAATTAATAATAAATAAA